ATGCTTCATTTTCTTTGTTTCTTAGCCTCCTTGTCGGCTTTATGTGGTCCACTACGGATTACCACCGTGGTTATTAAATGGGACTTATAAAAAAATTATTATTATTTCTTTTGTAAGATTGTTTGGACTTTTGGTGATATGAATTTGAAATTGTTTGTGTTTAGTAAAGAATTCCTCCTAAATTAGTGTAGTATATATGTCTTTATGTTATAGCGCATGAACGAATTAGTGTAGTATATATGTCTTTCGGTGATGGATGATATGCTCCCGGTTCCTTCTCTTCTCTTTCTCTATGTCGTTGACTCACTCCTACTGTCACTCTAGAAAATGGCCAAGTGTAACCACTTCCTAAAGCGTAGTATAGCGGGTTTGGGTTTTATTATCAACCCGGGTCCTAGATGTGATGACTACTCAGTGAATTCGTATTATCTAGCAATGCAACTTTAGTGAAGATCTAAACTAACAAGCAAGCAAAGTAACTAAACGGTTGTTTTCAGGTTAAGAGAGGTCACCCGGATATGGTTCCTCCTAGTCTGCAGTTAAGCCGGATTGTAATTACCAACTTCAATTTCTATGATAGTTATACTGCGGAAGGTTCTCAAACAGTCTGAAGTCTCGACTAAAGGTCTTCAGACCCTCTCAATCTGAGTCTCGAGCGGGCGACTAACCTCCACCGGAGTAAACAGATTGAGGCCCTAACGAACCAAACCTCCACTACCGAATTGAATTCGGTACAGAACAGCGAATTGGCTCCTCGACTAAAGTCACCAATTCGCCACCTTCAATCAAGGATACTCTATTAACCTAGGCAGATATTCTCATTCTAGGTTAAAGCAGAAACAACAGGAATTTGATCAGGATTCAAGTCATTCAATCATTCAAACCTCAATCGAATATAATCAAATCACAGAAACAGTACTTGGGTTCATACAATCAATCCTAACATACAGATCTAGGGTTTCCCACACCCGAATGAATGGGAGAACTACTCCATGGAGAAAGAAGCAAAAGCAGAATCAGACGCGGAAATCATACTGTGAAGATGGATTTCTGCTCCTGGACGTTGAATCGGCACCTCTCCAAGCTCAAGCCAAGCTCCAATGGTGTTGAAGATCAAGCTAGGGCACTTGGAGACTCTTGTTCGTCGCTTTCTCTCTCTAGGAATCGTTCTGTCTCTCCAAAACTCGAATCCCCTTCTGTTTTGGCTGAAGTCTGCTTAAAAACCAGAATTCCCCGACTCGCACGGCCAGGGTGCACGGCCGTGCGGCTCACCATCTTGCCCGTGCGGCTCAAAACGCGGCGTACCATTAAGTCGATCCTCAGCCATCTCACACGGCCAGGGTTGCACTTTGGACGGCCGTGTGGATCTCACTTGTGCCCGTGCTTGGCCTCGCAGAATTCCGCACGGCCAACATACATCCTCGCACGGCCGTGCGGGTTTTCTGCTCTGCCCGTGCTTGCTCTCGCACAATCCCACACGGCCAAACTGGTCACTTGCACGGCCGTGCGGGTTGTGGGTGTGCCCGTGCGACTTCCTCAGAGCCTCGCCATGCGTCCGATCCTCGTCCAGTCAACCCCAAACTCGCTCCCAAGCCTCCATTCACGTACTAGGACCTGAAATATCATAAACAAGCACAACCTAGCGTGAAATCGGCCTAAAACACGAGAATCAACACCTCAAACGGAGTAAGAGCAAGGGTATAAACATGTGTAAATAACGGTCTATCAGTCGTCTTGTATAAGGAAACAGCTTGATTTCTTGGAGTTGAATATGGAAATTTGGGATTTTATTTTAGTTAGGAACAGAGTAGAGACACTTTTTTTTAATTAATTGTTTGGGAAGGAACTTTGGATTGTGTCCATCAAAGTTTTTAATGGTTCTCCTAATATGACATGATCTTTTTCTCTCCTCAATGTTCTTCTTTTTAATTTTTTTTCTTTGATAATTTGTTTGTTTCCACTCAAATTGTCCTTTTCTTGACTTCCAATTAGTGGAGATTTCAATTTCTTTAGGAGGTTGCTAACGAACACTTGTGATAGGTTATTCTTAATTTAGAACACTCACATGTATTGCATTTAGTTACGTGACGGTTCTCATAATGGGTAATACGAAGTTAATGGCACCATCAGAGTTTGATTCACCAAAGAACAAAACATTGTCTTACCACCATGTACGAGTTACAGAATCGGTTGAAATTTTGATCCGTAAATCGTCTCCTTTTTGTATTTGGAACATGTTTAAGCCTAACAACCCGTTTTCTGTCTATCATGTTGTTGAATGGGCATAATTACCACACCTGGAGCACGAGCATTTGAGACTTTCTTCGTAGCAAAGTAAGTTGTGTTTCGTCACATCCACGCTATCTGTAAGCGTCTTCAAAATGACGAAAACTTATCTGCTTGTTAGCAAAGCAAAAAGTACATGTTTTCTTTTTGGATTTCAAGTTCTTTGTGCTCATCAATAGGTAAGAGTGTTGAAAGCATTGAGACCGAGCAAGAACATTGGACCGGTTTGAAGAAGTATTATCACCATGTATCATGCAAAATTGTGTATAAATGCTTGTCATACAAAGGAAAACAGTTTGGAGTGAGTTAATGTAGTTTTAACATCGTGTCTTTTTGTCGTTGGAAGTCTGGAGCCATTGTTTTATTGGTGTACGAGTTAAGCAACTCTGAGAGAATGATTATGTCCTCGAGTTCATTAGTCGACTCAACAAAAATCAATATATTAATGATGATTATCCTGTCTGACATTGATGTAGTCTTGTTTTATACTCTTCAACGAAAATAGTAGATGAAATGACACATTGCAGACGCAAAGCCAATAGATTTCTCAACATATATCTCACTAGCATTGGGTGCGCCCACATCTTCACTATACAGCAATGGCAGACATCCGAAAACTTCTTATAAACCATTGACATGGTTAAATCACACATTCATAATAATGCCAAGTTTGGTATTAGATTATCTTACACCTCTATGACTTTCTTTACCATGCGAGGAGAACTTGTTTAAAGCTCTCGATATTGGGATTACTACATATTGGTTGTATTTGGACAAATTTGTGAAAAAACTAAATGATTAGTGTAGTAATTCATTTGAATGTTGCCTTGCACCCATCTTTTCCACACACACACAAAATATTAGCAAGTAGAGGTGAATAAATTTTTTATTGTCACAGAACAATCAGCCCTAAATTATTTTTCCTCAGTTTATTCATCCATCTTCAAATTCTTCATATATACTTTGCTACAATTGACAAACCTTGTCCACCAGAACAATATTATCTAATATCAAACACCATAATCTCCACCTTTTTTTAATAGATATTCCAAATGAAAAAGTATGTAAAACAAATACCAAGATTAAGAGCAATAATACCATTGCTTTTTAGACATTTAGGTTATAAACAATGTCAACGGCCTGCGGTTTAGTTCTGTATGTAACAAGAATCATAGATTACTAGGTTCTTCTGAAGATCTTGATTTCCTGTCTCACCGTTTATATGGAGTCGTTTGCTTCAAGGATTTGCATCATGGATTGGGTAAAAAAAACCAAATATTAAGGTTTTACATACAATCCTTCGTTTGCTTGGTCCAAAAATGTTGAAACAAATCCGTGGGCCCCACAGATTTAGGTTTTTTCCACTCCAAATCCGTGGGGCCCACAGCTTTAGATCTCACATGATTATTAAGGAATTGGTGATGTGCTGGAAAACCAAGAGGCCAATTGACACTCCTATCCTCATTCTTTTTCATTAAACCAAAATTGTCATTTCGCTTGCACTCCCCTTGCCTATTCCTTACTCACCAAACCATGAAACCTGCGAAGAGTACTGCCCTTCCTAGAATATTGCAGCCGACATCAACCTCCGACGGCATCAACCTCTGACGTCGAGTCTGCGTTCAGCCGACATCAACCTGCGACAGCAAACTCGAAACCCAGGTGAGCAGGACACTCTTTCCTTGTGTTGAGTCGTTGTTCTTCGATGAGCTTTTGCAAATCATAGCAATCATATACATAGCTGCCATAAGTCAACTGAAAGAATAAAAAGTTTCTCCGCATCAAACAATATGCTGTAGTCCACCAAGTTGTTTAGTTTTTTGTCCTTTATCTCCCTTCCCACAACCATTCATGTTCCCATACAAGCGTGGCCTATTTGTTTAAATTTCTAGCAATCTAATGTTTTGATTTTGTGCTTGGATATTGTATTCTTGATTGAGCAGTTCACTGTTGTTCTTAGCTAATTATTTCTCATTTTCTTTTACGTATAAAGGATATGGCTAGATTGACCAGAGTGCCTACTACACGCAGCCGAGAAGCTGCGGTAGCAATTAAGGTTGTCTTAGGGTTGTTGCTTGGCTATTTTTCATTGTTGGTCGAACTGTTAGAGCTATTACTTAGGAAAAATCTTGAGACTAGCAGCAAAGCTCCTAACACCCTTATAGATAGTATATTTGATCATGAACACGATAGAAGACATTATATGAGGCGCATAATTGGGTTGTCTGACACACATTGTATTAATAAGGTTAGGATGAACCGAACCTTGTTTAGGAGGTTGTGTGACCTCCTTGTTAGTAGGGGGGGGGGGGTTAAAGGGTACTGACAATGTAGACATAGATGAGATGGTGATGATCTTCTTGATTGCAATTGGCCACAACGCAAAGAACAGGACATTGCAATTGGATTTTTGTCGATCGGGGCAAACTATTTCCAAAGTATTTCACAAGGTCCTTCACGGCGTTCTTCGACTCCACCACATCTTACTTCCACAGCCTGAACCTGTAACGGAAAACTCGGAGGATGTGAAATGGAAGTACTTTAAGGTGACAAACTGTTATTTATTTTCTCTATTGGCTAACTTATTTGACATTATACTAAGGAAATTTTTTTATCTTTAGGGTTGTCTAGGGGCACTAGATGGAACGCATATTAAGGTTCGTGTTAGAAATGAAGACCAACCTAGATATCGAGATCGCAAGGGGACAATTTCAATGAATGTGTTGGGAGTGGTTAATCAAAATGTTGAGTTTCTCTATTGCTTAGATGGGTGGGAGGGTTCAGCTCATGATGGGAAGGTGCTTAGGGATGCTTTGTTAAGGCCAAATGGGCTACGAGTTCCCAAAGGTAATGTCGAGCTAGCTGAAAAAATAAACCGAACAGAATGATTATGTATGCGAACGTAGGATTAACTTATAATCCTTCCATTTCTTAGGAACTTACTACCTATGTGATCAAGGATATAGCAATTGTGATGGCTTCCTAACACCATATCGGGGGCAGAGGTATCATCTTAAAGAGTGGGGCCTTTAAGGCCAACAGTAGCCAAGGAATACTTCAACATGAAGCATGCCGGGGCAAGGAACTGCATTGAGAGAGCATTTGGAATAAATAAAATGAGATGGGGAATCTTAAGAGATTCAAGCTGGTTCTCTCCTGAGGCCATGGTCCAAGTAATTAATTCTTGTTGTCTACTGCACAATTTCATTAAGAAAGAGGGAGGTGTAGACACATTCGAGAGGGATTTTGTTGACAATGAGCCTGAGCAATATCCAACAGCTTATGTTGAGCACATTGATGATGTTATAATAATGGTTCAACCTTCAAATGAATGGACCCATTTTAAGGATGACATGGCAAACGATATGTGGTTGAATAGGAATCATAGAGGATGAACTGTTGTATTATGCGATTGTATTTGTTGTAAGTTTGTTTACTGTTTGAACAATGGTTCTGCCATGCTTGTTTCTGTTATGTTAGAGAGAAACCGATGTATTGAATCTTCTATCTTTATTAAGCTTTATTTATGGGATGAAACAAAGGTTATGGGATGCTTGAATTAATTGTTGTACTCAATATTATAAGCTTTTATTAATCTATGTACACTGTTTGTGCCAAGCTTCCTATGATGTTCATGTATCTGGATCTTTTTCTCTACTGCTATCATGTATCAGGTAGACAGATGTGAGTTTAATTGACCACTAATAGGCTGTGTGTGATTGAGGTATGTTGTATGTGAACACTAATAGACCAAGATTTCAGCATACTCCCCAGCTGTTTGTCATTTTGTCATTTTTTTGTACTTTAAGCGACTGTTGTATTTGGGAAAGGTGGGACAGCTGTTGGTCGATGTACAGGTGGTATATCTGATGGTCCACCATCACCTGAATCTGTCGTGGACTTGGATGGATTTGGGTTTGACTCACCAATTGACGTGGATTCTCAAAGGACCACAGAGATCATGAATGACTTAATCAACGAAGGTATTGAGCTGCAACATCCTGCCTTTTCACCTCCGTTTGAAGTAGTAGGCGCTCCAGCCACCAAGATTCAGCCTTGTAGACCAAAGAATGCAGCTGCCAACAACAAATCTGCTAAGAAGAAGGCAAAAAGGATTGAAATTAACACTGATGAAGCTATAGTTAATGTGTCATCCCAACTTGGTGAGCTGAAGCCAATAATCTTCAAGGCTGTGGAAGCTCTTGGCTCCATAATAGGTGATCGTGATGGTGACAAAAGTAAGCAAGTTGTTTTGATCAAGGAGATAGGGAAAATTGGAGGACTCACTCGTGACCAAGTCATTGATGCTGCTATGGCTTTAGTGGACAACGAGCCAAAGACTCGACTTTTCTATGCCCTAGAGAGCGAGGAAGACCGGTGCTACTTCATCAAGAGCTTGCTACGTTGACATTGGTGGTGTAGGATCTACTTCCTAGTCTATTTTGCAGAACACATGCGGGATGTATGCGAAACTTTTTTTTTTTTGTGCAAGATTAGCTCTTGCTGTATTTAGCCATTGCAAGTGTTTGGCGGTGGAAAACCATCATTTTGCAGAAGTTTCCTTTCATCCCAAATGTTATAGTTGTGTTAGACTTATGGTTGCTGGTTTTAAACGGTTGTGAAATGCATTTTTTAGTTATGAAAGCTACTCTGTGGCTCTGGTTTTTCATAACTGTTATAGTTAGCTGATTATGTGAAATCATGATACTCTTCTTTTTACAGTTTCCTATCGGCTAATAATTTGACAGGATCTTTTCAGATTCTCTGCCCTCTCTACCTCTCTTGACAAATATATAAGTTCTGGATGTGCATTATTTGTTATGTTTAGGTTTGCAAATTCAACTCACATATTGACTTCTGCACTTCCAGGTCTCTGAACCACAAGTAGAACTGAAATATATGGTAGCCTAGCCTCACGTTGGCAGTGCATTCTTTCCAGATTCGATATCAAAGAGGCAATACATAATGATACACATGCATAACTCGACTGAAAACACCATGATATACAACAACATGGCCTACTTGAATCAATTCCTACTTGTACGCTCTAACTCTAGCGCCGCTATATCTTCTGCTTGATGATTTCCAGCTCAATGAACAACTCAGTCGGTTCATGTATTCTAGCTCCATCCTTCATAACTCTCCCTAACAAACTGCGAAGCTGTCTATTTTCAGCTTCCAACCTTGTAACCTTTGCAGACATCATTGAAGTTGCTTTGAGCACTGCAGCTCTAATGTCGTACCATTTAAAGTAACGACACGCTTTCTTAGCGTCTGAGGGACTGAACCGTGGGCATCCAAAAAACTTGCGATTAGGATTGCCAGAGGTACGTGAAATTCTTCTAGCCGCTCTCAGCCCGCAATCACATAACACCTCTTCCTCCTCGTAATGGAATGCATCCGAAACTGCTATCTCCTTTCCTGCGCTTGCCATGAGATGTCTGCAATTGGTAATTGGATTTTTTTCTGCCTTGAAAGGAGAAATCATCTCCTACATCAAGAATCTAAAATATAAATGGGAAGCAGCATAATGGAAGGAGACTCAATGTACCTACTGTCAAAAGAGATAGTAGCAAAGCGAACCAGAAGAAGGATAATGGAGGAGCGTCGGTTTCCTTGACAGATCAGAACGAATTGAGAAAAAGGGTTTCGTGGCTGCTAACAAGGAAAGAAGGGAAACGCATAACAATGGCAACCCCTTCCTTTTAATGGGTTAAAAAAAGGGCAATAAGGTAAATGCAAATTTTTATTTCTAAAACCCAGACCATTAAATCCATAATCAAAATGAAGAAACAAAAAAAGGATTTTTTCCAAATCCAAAATGCCCCAAATCCCAAATAAAACCTTAGGTCTTTAAATTCCACGTTTAAGTAAAAACTCTCATTTTACAATCCTTGAAGAAAACAACCTGTATATTCTATTTCTCTACTTTTGGGGGAGCTAAAACGCCATCAATATAGTGAGTATGAAACTATGAATTGGTATGCAACAATATCCGTGGCTTCATGAATATGCAACTTGTTATATTCTGTGAAACATCAGGATTGCTGGATAGGCATTCCAATATCCGTGGCTTACATTGCTTATCCATATATTTTGGCTTTGTTGAAAAATCAAAGATAGGAAGAACATATATGAGTCATCATTCTTGTTGGTTGCAAATCCCTTTCACCAAACGTTGAAGACTAAAAAATAATTTATGTCGATTTCAAACATGGAGTAAATTGTTTTCCTAAGAATCATTATGCATTTTCAGTCACCAATGTCTCGCATTGATATATATCGGCCATGTAATCTTTGTTAAAGTAATTTTGTGTTATAAATGCGCTGCTACGGACCAGGAAATCGCCGGAATCGATAAAGCAAGAATACGAAAGTAAGAATCGAAAACACAGACACACGATTTACGTGGTTCACTAACACGATGTGTGTTAGCTAGTCCACGGGCGAGAGAGAGCCAGTTTCACTATATCGAGGAGATTACAGATTACAGAGGAGTATGAGAAGTATTTATAGTACTTCTCCATGTGGGTCTAAATCTAATCCAATCTGGCGAAGGAAACGGTATGATTGATCATAGAGTTAATCCAGCGAGACCCCCGACTACCAGTCGTAGCGGCTGATAGTCCGATTCAAGTCACATCAACATTTTGATTGATCATAGAGTTAATCAAATACTTGATTCAACAAGAATGGTTCAAACACTCATTAGATTTTGAATACACTTTATAAGTAAAAGAGTAACCTATGAGATTTGGATTGAAAATAGTTTGGCTCAATTGTGTTTGCATTCCTAATGAACCCTCATTACGATTTTAGAGAACCGTTCGTAAATTAGGAAACTTTAGGCATGTGCGTCTTACTTCTTAAACCGCGACGGGAAATTTTAATATACAGAACGAAAAAAATGACACATTAAGAAGAAGAAAAAACAGAGCAGTCTCTGTTTCAAGTCTCTGTTTCAAACATTTGCAGATTCGTCATCATCAACCTCTCTCTCCCTCTCCCTACTTAATCAAGCTGAGCATACCAAACCCCCTGAATCTTCACATCTTTAGGCGCCTTGGCGCCCAAATCGGTGTCCGACGGCTGAACGCTCTCGAAAACCCCAATCACTTCCCCTGTCTCCGGCTTGCTCTTGGTCACGCTCAATGTAATCTTCCCCTTCGACGCCGCCGCGTTCTTGACGTTCTCCTTCGCCAGCTCTTCCTCATCCCCTCTCCCGCCGGCGGGCAGCGCCACCGCATTGTCATAACCCTGGGACCCTCCCCTGCCTTTAGGGTCCAAAAACGACGAACCTCTGTAGCTGGGCACCAAAAACTCCCCGCTGAAGCTCTCTGGCTTTCCAGAAGCCACCAGCTGCTTCACCGTGAAGAGGAAAGGGACCCTCTCCCCGCCGGGGAGCTGGACGGTGACGGCGGCGTAGTCGATGCCGTCTTTCTCCTCGAATTTCACCGTGCCGTCGGGGGAGACCTCGAAGGGGCCTTCCATCTCGTCTAAGGTGTAGGTGAGGCGGGTCATGAGCTTGGTGTTTTGGAATTCGGCTGGGGAGTTCTTGCTGACTCCTTCGGCTTTGACAGTGAAGGAAGTTGGCTCGAGGCAGAATTTCTTGGCCTGGTATTTCCCTGCTTTGAAGGAGAAGGAGTCGGATCCGCCGTCGATGGTGGGGCATTGGTTGGCCGTGCCGGTGCCCTTCACTTCCATGTAGGTCTTGCTCTGGATCTCGTCGAAGGTTAGCCTCTTCGGCGCTCCTTCTGCTCCTGCTCCCTGTGCATAGCCAAAAAAAAAACATAAACAGCTCAAATGTTTGATAGATAGGAGCAAACCTATCAGAGCAGTACGAGTAGTATTATGATGTAATACGAGTTTTGTTCCGCTATTTGATAGAGTTACGTTCCTTATTAGAAGTTAGTTATTTTCTATACTAGTGTTAAGATTGTGATGTTATATAAATTCTACCTAATTTCAGTAATAATACACAACAATTTACACCGTTTCTCGACATAACCAACTGAACTTGTCTCCAAACTTTCATTCTTCTAGTCTTATCATGGTGAGCAGAGAGCCTTCTTAATCATGATGTTGAATCATTAGTTGCTTCCTAATCATCATTGGCGTTAGCTGTACTTTTGTCTGAAAATCCTAACTACAACATGATTGGACAATAGCCAGTATTGATCAAGCTCTCTACAAAGGGAAGCCAGCATGCCATTAAGAGAAATTGCAGCGACTAGAACTGAAAGGATCATCATATCTAAGCCAAAAACTGGAAGAACCCACTTGGCGTAAGAAGCAAAAGACATACCGAGACAACAAGAGCAGAGGTGGCAAGAGCAAAGCCAGCAAGCTTGGTGGCATCGACACACTTCTGGGCCAATTCCTTGAGGTCAGACTGAAGAGAGCAGGTGACTCTAGCAGAGGCAGCTGGCTCCAATCCAAAGGCTTTGGAGACATTTGGGGAAGACCTCAATTGGACGAGGCTGTTGGAGGAGTTCCTTCCCACCTTGGTGGGTTGCATTAGAGTTGCTGCAGCTTGAAGTGAGGCTGCCATGGTTAAGGCAGAACAGGTGAAAAAAGCCCCACCTCTGGGATCTCTGATGGAGGGAAATAGAAGGCAGAGAGAGAGAGGAAGTTGTGTGTTTTGTGCTAAGGTGGGGAAGAGGAGTTAAGTTGGTTGGCTATGGGGTGAGAAAGAAGAGCAAGGATAAGGGGATAGGATAAGGGTGGAATGTTATTGGGTGATGGAGGTAATGTACTGGTTTTGGATGCTGCCACATGGGCAGTGATATATTGGGATGTTTAGAGCTCAGAGATACTCTCTCATTTCTGGGTTCCAGAGTGGTTGAAATGAGAAGAGAGGACCCACAGGCCACAGCTAGGCCTGTTTCTTCATTCTTGTGTGTGGCTGTGCTGTGCCTGTGAGGGAATGGAAATTGAAAATGGTTCCACCAAAACAAAATGAAAGGTCAGGTAGTCAATAGTCATCTCAGTAAAAAATAATTGGCCCATACAGGTCTCGAACCTGTGACCTTCGCGTTATTAGCACGACGCTCTAACCAGCTGAGCTAATAGGCCTTGATGTACATTATTGAGTTAGCCTTTATTTATAGTAAAATTAAAGAGTAGTAACAATTAAATTTTGGATAATGGTGATGCAATTTTAACTCATGATTTCGGAATAGGTAAGAACTGGTTCTAATGTTTAGGAAGCAGCTCAAAAGTGCTTGAAATAGAATCACCGGTCAAATAAAATTTGACCTCAATTCAGATTTGATTTATATCATTCTCATCATTGCTGCATAATCAATGTTTGTGGTAAACTGAGTTATAATTGTCCTTGTAAGCATGTTTTCAGTCGCCAAGGTCTTACATCATACCCAATAGTGATACCCTTTCACGCCATTCTTCTGATTACTCAATGTCATCATTCCAAACATAATCACCATCTCTGATCCTCGATCAAGACCCAACAAAGGAGTAATTACACAGATGAGAACTTTATTTGATAGAAAAGACGGCCTTAGAAAACAGAGTCTACAGATTAAAATTAAAAACAGAGTGAAAAAGTGCAAAAACTGTTGTACAAATTTTGATTGAAAGGCAGTTCAGAATGAGTAGGAGGTGAGATATGAATCATCACATTGTGGTAAAATAAGACAGAAACTCTATCATCACCACTGCCAAAGCAAAACAAGATCAAAGTTTAAAACTTTACAAAAAAAGAGCTTTTTAAAAGGTCGATTTTCTTTTGGCTTGGTGGGATACTGGACATGGATTCCTCTCAGACAAATGCCTCGTTTGTCGTCAGGGTTTTGAATGGATAATCGGACTCGTCATCTATAGATAATTATCATCACTGAGAAATCACAAACCATATCCCCACCAAATAAAAAACAGAAATAACAATCGCCAAACACTAAATAGATCGAAGAACCAAAATAAGTTTCAGATGGCCATGACAGATTAGCACCAGATTCCGACCGACAGGGGGAAACAAAGAACATAGAAAGGCTTCTGGTGAGGAGCAAAGGAGCTTTCTTTTTTCCACCTAGCGGCTGGAACACTGGAGCGAATAAGGACGGCCAAGAGATGAGGCGATCAAACACAGCGAAGAAGAGAAGTTGCGAAGAAGGAGATGGAAGTGAAAGGGAACGCGTTGCTGTGTTGTATTTATAGGCTGGATCGCGGCGCCTAGGGTTAGGGTTTTTATGATCAAGCGGAACTGAAACGGAACGCCGTATTTGTTGTTTTGGGGTCGTTGGGTTTTGACTTTTTGGGCCGAGAATCCAATAAAACAGCCCACACCATAGCCCATGTAGTGGGAGGATGAAGAGATATGAACTAGTAGTCCTCCAATCCGGGTTAAAGACACATTTGGTCACTGAGATTACAAAATCGGAACATGTTTAGTCATTAGAAAAAATTAATATCAAATTTGGTCACTACAATTACTAAAACTGGACACATTTAGTCACTCGCCGTTAGTCTCCGTCCAACTCCGTTAATAAAGTCCGTTAAGTGATGATGTGGCAAACAGAATTGCCTAATCAGCCGGATATAACCCAACAAAAATAAAACCCGACCCGCCACGTCAATATAACCCGCCACATCATTAAAACCAACCCAACCCATGACCCAACCCCACCCACCCCTTCTTCCTTCCATCTACATCTTTCCTTCTTCCTCTATACGATTCTGAATTCCAAACCGCCGGAATTTCATCCCGAGATCTCTGGCCGCCAGCCCGCCGGCCTAGAACTCCGTCAATCCCGCTTTGGATTCAGTTCAATCTGTAGCCGCCATTGATGGGTATCTTTCCCCCAATCTCTCCGTCACGAATCCAGAGCGAACGGCGTCTGCAACAGATCGTATGAAGCCCAGAGCGCGTCGAGCTTCCCTTCGTTCTGGAGTATGAATAGGTTCAGCCCTGCGTCCGCCGACACAATCGTCCGCTCCCCGAACAAATTAAACTTGTATATCTTCCCGTACCTGCACAATCAGTCAGTTTTACTATGTTCCACAAACAAAAATCACAAAAAAATTCAAATGCTCTGTTTTTACCTGGTGACATGCTGGTCCATGAAATCGCCGAGGGAAGTGGCGAAGAAAGGTCTCAAGTAGCCAATCGTCTCGCCGAGGAAAGGCCAGCCGGAGCTGCCTGGTGGGAGATTGAATCTGCGGTGGGATTTGGTTTTGAGGATGAGGATGAGGAGCAGAGTGAGGAGGGAAGGGAGAAGGAAGAGAACCACACGAACTAGCTCTGACTCAGACAAGGAGGTCATGCTTGGGAGTTGGGACTGGGTGTCTCTCTGTTTTCTCTATTGAGGAAAGGAGTTGAGTGGAGACAGAGAGATGGGTTTTCCTCAGAGAGCAGGAGTAATAGTGGGGAAAGAAGGAGGTGAGAGGAAGGAGGAAGAAGGGTTGGGTGGGGTTGGGTTGAGTTGGGTTGGTTTTAATGACGTGGCGGTTTATAATGACGTGGCGGGTCGGGTTTTATTTTTGTTGGGTTATATCCGGCTGATTAGGCAATTCTGTTTGCCACATCATCACTTAACGGACTTCATTAACGGAGTTGGACGGAGACTAACGGCGAGTGACTAAATGTGTCCAGTTTTAGTAATTGTAGTGACCAACTTTGATATTAATTTTTTCTAGTGACTAAACATGTCCCGATTTTGTAATCTCAGTGACCAAATGTGTCTTTAACCCCCTCCAATCCAATGCTCTTGATACCCTATCTAAGAGATGATTGTACCAATGTTTTTACACTTATTAATTATTATGAAAAATGTGGCTTAGCTAGCAGATTTTGGGAGGGCGGCAGAGTTGTGTACAAGGCATTATGTTCTTATTGTTGATAGTTAGTCGTATCTGATGGTTGATGTAAGTAGATGATATCATTACCGTATAGAGTTATTTGACTCTATTTTCGTTGTATCACATTGAGTCGTTTTATGATCTGGTTGAGTAATACAAACATCTTCTTGAACGGAAAAAAATTTAGCATGGTTAAGGAGTTTAGCAAGCTACCTCGTCCTGAAATCAAAATGTATCCAATAAAAGGTGACCAAAATAGAAGTTGAAAACAAAAAAATAAGGACAATGTCTATTTTTTATCCAACCTTTTCTAAAATTCTTTTATTTTACCCAAATCTATAGAAATTCAATTTATTATCCAAACGTTAACTCATCGTCAACTTTTTCGTTAATATTGTTGACTCAACATCACAAATCTGAGTTGGCTTTTGACGTGGCGGTCAACATATCATTTTATATTTTAATTTAAAAAAATAATAGAAAAACAAATTAATAAAGTGAGTCGCCGTCCACGGCACCCTCCTCCCTTCGTTTTCTTCTCCACCATCGCCATGCTCTCGCACTGCAGAAATGTAGAAAAAACCCCAAATCAATAAGCCTCTGTTTTTTACAATTTCTCGATGAAAATGTTGAATTGGGTAATTTGGGGGAAGGGTGGGACGAAGACGAACTTGGAAAGAGATGTGGTTGTCTTTAGGGTTTATTTCGCTGATCTTGGGCATGCTTTCTGGGTCTTCGGACTGAAGCAAATGGATTTCGATTCCATAACCAAAAAACCTGCAGGAAGAATAGAGACCCACAATCGAATCAGAACCCTCTGTTTTTCCTTCGTCAAAATCTCAAATTGGGGGAAAGAAGTTTTGCGTACCAGGCGTCGTCGAAGTCGAAGGAGCCAGGGCAGCAAATGGGGAAGAAGCCAAGAACATGTGGTAGAAATCTAGGGATTTCTCGACGGATCGACAGACGAGGGAGATGTGATTCAGCGACTTGAGCTGCAGAGGGTTGTTCATTCCCATGCCCATTATAATTCTTCGCACTTTCCAATCTCGGAACTCTTAATCGAACAAGTGTGGTGAAAGAAGGGGGAATTGCATAAGGGAAGTGGGGAAGGAAGAGGCGGATTGATGACAGAGATGGTGGTTCCAGACCCAGCAACCCTATTCACGTTTGTCGACTGTTGGTGAGTATACTACTACTGACTGCTCTACTTCTCCTTGTCTCTCTTCTTCTCCGTCGTGACAGACGCAACCCTCTGCTACTCCCCTCACACGCCCCTTTTTTTGTCATTTTTCAAGTTACAGATATAGATTTCGGACTTTCCTCCGCTCTGCGTCATCGAGCTTCGTCGCCACTAGCTGAAGAAAGAATTGTGAAGGTGCGATTTGCAAGATTCTCCCTCTGCCCGATGAGGCTTCGAACGTCGGCGATGGAGGCAGAGACTCGATTATCTTTCTGTGTGGTGATTCAATCGGCAACGACGGAGGAAGATGCGACTATTTTTGGGTTGGGATTTTTGATTAATGGAGAATGGCAACTCGATCTGCAATCCAGAGCTCACAGGCCTGGAAATCGAGTGGAGTTGCAGGGGGAACGGTGGAGTATAGTGGAGAGAGAAGGGCTTATTTATTTAATGATTTTTTATTTTATTAATTTCTTATATGGACGCTGACGTGGACGCTGACATGGAGATCCGTTAGTAAAAAATTAATGATAACATAACGAATGCCCAGACTATGAACATATACAATACATTTTGATAATAAATAGAATTTTTATAGATTTGGATAAAATAAAAGAATTTTGGAAAGGTTTGGATAAAAAATATACATTGCCCAAAAAATAATAATATAGCTTTAGCTCAACACCTTCCTTAATGAATCAGTATGGTGCGAACTCATATCCTGCCATCACTGTTAGAATAGATGTGGGACAAATAGAATGCATTTTAATTAATCTTTCATACAAATATTGTATTTGTAAATGATATTTGCGCTATGTGAAAATTTGTCATATGAGAATATTGTATATGGTTATGACTTATGAGCATATATGGTATTTGTGTTGTGAGAATATTGTATTTGTGTAATGAGAATATGATGATCTTCAGTGTTCGGCAATAATACTACATGAATGTTGACCATATTAGAATAGATGTGAGACAAATTGGAATACAACTCGATCTTACGATTTAGCTAGTATTTTAATTCCTCTTTCATAAAACTATTGTATTTGTGTTATAAACATTTGATATTTGTGTTCTCTGAATTTTTTTTTTTTTTACTTTAATGAGCCCCTTAGACCTAATAGAGAAAGTGTCTCGATGCTCTCCCGTGAAACAACCTGGAATTGTGCCATTCAAATTGTTGTTGAAGATTTTATGTAAGTAATCGATAAGCACTGCAAATACTCGCCAGGATAGCTCCTCTGAGTTGATTGTTCGATATTGAGAAGGCAGAGGAATGTAATTGCTAATTTCAGCTGGAACTGACGACTGGTCCACTGAGAAGATTGTGGAAGAGATGGCGGCATTTGTAGACCAACAAGGTCTTTTTTTTTTTGACAAAGGTCCCTGATACTTCATTTCCTTGCGACAAAAGATAGAGCATTACAAGAGTGGGCCTATTACATCAAGAACTTGGATCCAGTCCGCCGGTAGGATTCTTTTTGCACACGATCGTGCCACCCAGTCTGCCTTGCAGTTCCTTCGTCTGCTGATAAATTCGAATATGTTAGATGGGTGGTTGATGCACAAAGTTTTGATTCTGCTGATCCAACCTGCCACACGCCAAGGCCAAACCTCTTTCTGGTTTGAAAGGGCTTGAATGAGTGTGAGGCAGTCTGTCTTTATTAGGCAAGGTGCTGCCAGCTCTTCAGCAAGACATGCTCCTTTCCATATGGCAATAGCTTCTGCTTCAAGGGGTGAAGAACAGTGAAGGGTCTCAGCTTTCCCATTACATACCTGTCCATGGCTGTTCGTTACCACGATGCCATATGCCGCCTGCTGTGACTCGCTGAAAAAGGAACCGTCACAATGTATTTCAAACTCATGAATACTCGGCAGTGGAGAGGAAGGCTCTGGGGTTGGAATGTGCTGAGGGTGATGGTTAGGGTCTCTGATCTTCCGTGGACAGGACTTCCATTGGTGATGGGCCGTCGTGGCTCTGAGGATGGTTAACGGGTGCCACGGTAAGATCCTTGAGAAGATTCTTTCATTTCTGGATTTCCATGTCTGCCATAGCAAGAAGATCATCTGCTGAATGCTCCCTATTGAGTATCTTGACTTCAGCGAGACCAGCCAATCCAAAATGTTTGTGAGTGGTGGAGGATTAGATAGGTCAGGCCATTCTCTATTCCATCCTGCTGCTGCATGGGGACAGTTAAAGAGGCAGTGATGGATCGATTCAGAGTGGAAATTGCATAGTGGGCAGGCTTCAGTTGGAGAGCACTTTCTAGCAAACAGATTGGCCTTGGATGCCAATGCATTTTTTGCACACCTCCGAATAAAAAACTTCAGTTTCGGTGGCAAAGACAAACTCCATAGCCATTTCCAGTTTTCTTTGGCTGAGGGAGGGAAAGGGTTTATATTCCCTTGAGTGCCCCTGGTTTGGTTGTGGAAAAGGTGGAAAGCGGACTTAACTGAGAAGTTGCCTATTTCAGAGAATCTCCAAGCCCAGTAATCCATCATCTCAGTTGGACCTATCGGGGTGGCTCTCGCGAGGGAGATTTCTTGTGGGTCAAGGTACTGTTCCAGGAGGTCGAACTTCCATTCTCTGGTTATGGCATCAATGAAATTTGCAACAGGGGTTGAGTCATTACCTCCCTGTGCCAGAGTAGGGCCTGGTCGATCAAAACGCCACGGGTCCTGGAACATTTTGGTTGTCAGCCCATTTCCAATCACCCTGACAACTCCCTGCTGCATCCAATTCTTGGCTTCCCATATACTTGCCCAGATCCATGATGCTTTGCTTCCCTTTTTTGCTCTCAAGAAGTCATGTCCGGGGAAATAAATGCTTTTAAGCACCTTAACCCACAATGCTTCAGGATTGGTGAGGATTCTCCATGCTTGCTTGGCAAGAAGGGCCATGTTGAAAATGTGAAAAGGTCTGAAACCTAACCCTCCTTCCTCTTTTGGCGCATACAGAACGTGTCCTGCAGGCCAGTGTATTGTCTTTTTTGTCATGTTACCACTCCAGAAGAAGTTCCTCAACATGGAGTCAATCTTGTTTGTTGTAGCTCGAGGCAAGAGGAATAGGCACATTATGAAGGATGGGATGGCTTGGAAGACAGCTTTCAGTAGGGTTTCTTTTCCTCCTGGGGATAGTAGAAGGCTTTTCCATGTCTCTCCTTTGCTTTCCATTCTTCTGATGAGGAATTGGAATGT